TTCCTTACAGAGCCCCTCCTCCAACACACACGAACGCGCACATGACCAATGAGGGCACGAGATAAGTTTGTGCACAGATGGAAGGCTGACAGGCAGGTAGGCCATCCAGTTATTTTAGCCGGGCCGGCTCAAATGATTGGTCGTGCTTTTTACAGTACTACGGCTTCCACAGATGACATTTTTTTATGGATTTTTTGTCAAAGCACTTAAGATATTCATTGCTATCAGGATGTTAAGAGCATTCCATGGAATATAACAAAAAGTGTATTTCGAGCCGGTTTCTCAAACTTACCTACCCTAACTTTAAGTACTCTAACTTTAACTATATATATGTATTTGTTGTTCTTTTATTTTATTTTCACTATATCTGTAAAGTGTCTTTGAGCACCTGTAAAAGCGCTAACAAAATAAATATATTATTATTATTATTAATAGTTTCTGTATCCTGGGGGATGCAGTCATGTGATAGGCTGTATCTTTGTGTAAAATGTGGGTCTAATAACAGTGTAACATGGGTATAATATAGGTCTAATAACAGTGTAACATGGTGTAATAATGGTGTAACATGTGTATAATATAGGTGTAATAATGGTGTAACATGGGTATAATATAGGTGTAATAATGGTGTAACATGGGTATAATATAGGTGTTTTAATGGTGTAACATTGGTGTATTCATGTATAATATGGGTTTAATAACAGTGTGATATAGGTGTTATGTAGATAATGGCAATCAATGAATTCTCCAACATATGTGATTGCCTTAAAGGGTTAAAACATATCATACAACATCTGAATTAAATATTCTCCATGTTGGTAATTGTTAAGTCAGTGTCTAATACATTAGATGGGTGTTTGGCTGATGTGGGGGATGTAGAGACAATTATTATTGGAGACTGGAACACGGATATGCAACGTAAAGACACGTCCGTCTTCAAGTCCTTCAGTAGGATTTGTGATCTGCACGGCTTCAGCCAGCTAATCACCCAACCCACCCGGGTATGTGAAACAACACAAACTACCATTGATCTCATTCTGACCTCTGACAGGTCCAGGATCTCCAGTAAAGGGGTTATAGCATGCGGTTTAAGTGATCATTATATGATATTCTGTACCCGCAAAAAGCTAAAACAAAAGGCCGGCTGTCACAAAACAGTCATATCTAGAGACCTCAAAAACTACTCTAGCGAGGCCTTTAACCTAGAACTGGAGAGCCTGGACTGGTCAGATGAGCTCAGTGGTACACAAGTTGAAGAAACATGGCTTGGTTTCAAAAACAAATTCTCTGCAATACTCAATGATTTGGCCCCCCTAAGAACAACCAGGGTAAAAAATCGCGCTGAGCCGTGGATGCACTCCGGCATACTGACCGCCATGAAAACCAGAGACAAAAAATGCTCTGAGTTTCATAAAAGTCAGTCAATGCTTTCCAAAAGCACGAGCAGTGAACTCCAGGCCCACGTGACTGAACTAAAAATTGAAAGAAACAGACTAAGAAATGACGTAAACTCCATGATCAAAACTGCCAAAAAGAATTTCATCAATGACAAAACTGAGGAAAACAAAAATAAACCCCGTGAACTTTGGAAATTACTCAATAACCAGCTTGGCTGCAGTAAAAAACTCAAAACGAGATTTCAAACTTAAACATAAAGACAGATAACAGGCGCATCACAGACAAACTGGATGTGGCCAAGTACTTGAACATTTTTTTCACAAAACATAGCCACAACTCTTGTAAATAAATTACCCTCCCACTCAGGGCTTTTGGAGTAGATCACATCATGACCTACTACAAAAACCTAGGGTACGCAAAGATGATTTCAGTCTAGCAAGGGTACAACAGCAGAGTACTCATTAAACTGAGCGCCCTCAAACCTAACAATGGCCACTGGCCACGACAATATCCCTCCAAATTCCTCAGAGACACAGCAACCGCCATCCTCACCAGTCATAGCTCACATAATTAACCTCTCCATAAAACAGGGAAAAGTACCCAAAGACTTCAAAATTGCAAGAGTAACCCCCCTGCACAAAAAGGGCAGCAAATTGGACCCAGGCAACTACCGCCCTGTTTCTATACTTACCTCCATCTCGAAAGTCATGGAAAAAATAGTATATGAACAGGTCGAAAAGTACCTCGCAGAAAAGAAACTAATCTATGAATTTCAATCTGGCTTTAGAACATCCCACTCCACTGACACATGCCTTCTTATTTGAACGACCACAATCAACAAGAGTGGACGAGGGTAAATACTGCGGCATGGTGATGCTGGACCTACAAAGGCTTTCGACACTGTCAATCACCCCATTCTGATTGACAAGCTAAAAGCAATTGTTTTTGATAAACTATCGGTGAGCTGGATGCCAATCCTACCTGGAGGGGAGAGAACAGATGGTGGAGGTAACGGTACTCTGTCCCCCCCCCCTCCCAGTGAGCTGTGGTGTTCCAAGAAGCATATTAGGTCCGTTACTGTTCCTAATTTATGCAAATGACATGTCATCAGCATGTGAACTGCAACTTGTTCCTGTTCGCGGGACGACTCCAGCCCTGCTGGTCCTCTGACAGGAGCAATTGCAGGTTGAGAAAAGACCCTCGCTCCGAGCTCGGCAGAATCTGCACCTGGCTCGCCGATAATAAAGTTATCATTACAACCTGGGTAAACAGAGTCCATTCTCTTCGGTTCGAAACATAATCTCAGCAAATCCGACGACTTCTCAGTTGGGGCAGTGGGTGACATTATTGTCCACAAGTAAGAAGGAAATTACATACCTAGGATCTATTCTTGAGGCAAAACCTCTCCTGTGACAAAATGGCATCCAATGTAATAAAAAAAGTCAATCAAAGAACTAGATTCCTATACCGGATCTCCTCTCTGTGTAAACAAAAAACACCCTGAAAACTCTGGCAGGAGCACTCATTCAAGGGTACTATGACTATGCTTGCACGTCATGGTACCATAGCACCTTCCAAGGCGCTAAAATAAAACTTCAAACATCGCAAAATAAACTGGTCAGACTACTGCTTGACCTTTCATCTAGAACCCACCTCACCTCTGCCCACTTTGACAACCTAGGATGGCTTAGAGTAGACGACAGAGTACAGCTACTTGCAATGGGCCTGGTCTACAAGATCCACTACACCTCTATGGTACCCATGTACATGTCAAAATTCTTCCCAAAGGTCAAGGAATACCATGATCATAACACCAGAGGGAGCTCCACAAATCATGTAAAACCCAGATTTGGCACAAAAAAAATGGGGAATACAACATATCGCAATTATGCCACATCAAGGTGGAACGCTCTTTCCCACAACTGTAAAGGAAGTAAAACTATACTTACCTTCAAAACCTCTCTTAAAGAGCACCTTCGGGGGGAAAGCATTGCAAAACTGGCCCCGGTAATGGTACAAATCTCAACCTGTCGTACATGGACAGCTTCCCCCCCCCCCATCTATGTATATACTCTCATTTTAGACTCTGTTACTAACTGTATATCTGTAGACTTGGTATGTCTTAAATGTCCGGTTAGGATGTATTAGAACGAAATCTAAAATGAAAATTGTAAATAAGCCATCTGTATGTAAAAAACCACCTGTATGTAAATTGTAAATAAGCCATCTGTATGTCAAATATGTCTTATATGTCTTAAATGATATGATGAATTGGAAATGGGGGACCCTGATGTAAACAAGACGAAAGTCTTTCTCTGGTCTGCATCCCCTTAACAATTGTATGTTTTGAGCTGTACTGTACTGTACCCAATATACAAGCTGTTAATAAACTTTTCAATCAATCAATCAATCAATCAAACGTTGTGTTTTTCATGTCGCTTCTTCCCAGACGTAAAACAAACATCACGAGCTAACGAAGCTAACTACTGACAGACAGCTAAAACCAATGCTAACCTGTATTAGCCTTCATTTGTAGAGGATTCACGAAAACATAGAGTTCCTGGTAGACATATCTTTACATAGGAGGAATGAAAAATGACCTCAGACTCGTTAATATATTAAATTAATGTATTGCTTTTGTTTGTTTATCTAGCTTCGTAGCAGGAAAAGGGAGCTGACGTCACTTCTGGTTCACTCTTCTTCTTCGTGGTTTTATTTTACAGTCGGGGGTCACTACCGCCACTCTGCGGTTATGGTGAGTAGTACAACACAAAGCTGAGTATTCATTCATTTTCTACTATCAGTGGAAGAAGTACTCAGATCTTGAAGTAAAAGTAGATGTACTCAGAACTTGTACTTGAGTAAAAGTAGAAGTACACAGATCTTGTACTTGCTTTTATTGTCATTACACAGTGACAGTAGGCCTACTTACCATGTAACAAAATGGTTTCTCTGCATTTGACCCATCCTAGTGTTAGGAGCAGTGGGCTGCCATTATTAACGGCGCCCGGGGAAATGATATGTTTTATAATTATTGATCATTAAAGTGTTCTCAAAGCTGGTAAAGGTGCAGCTAGTTTTAATGACTTTGTATACTGCATATACTATGTTTAAAATATTTTTAAAAAGATCGGAGAGCCAGCCTCTCGTCCAACATCAGTGTGTGACCTCACTAATGCTCTTCTGGATGAAAGGGCTTCCCACAGACACACTCCAAGATCTGTAGAAAGCCTTCCCAAAAGAGTGGAAGCTGTTATAGCTGCAAAGGAGGACCAACTTCAAATGAATGCCTAAGAGTTTGGAATGGGATGTCCTGAAAGCTCCTGTAGGTGTAATCAGAATCAGAATCAGAATCAGAATCCCTTTATTAGTCCACAGAGGATACATGTACATTGTTACAGCAGAAAAGAGACAAAGACAGCTTCATGTTACCTAAAGCATGCATACAACAAAGTATTAAAGATTAAAAAAAGAAATTATAATTTTTAAAAAGTTACACGTTTTACAAAATACACAGTTTTTAACGGCATATATATATATATAGTCCTATATATAAAATGTTGTTTAAATAAAATGTCCAAAGAAAGTATTCAGAGTAATTCTTATTATAGTTTTTTTTTGTTGTAATATATTTTCTCAAATGACCTGCTTTGACTGCAGCTTGAGAAACTTCTGGATTCAGTCTGAAAGCATCCTTTTTTAACTTTAAACATGATCTTTAATAATGTTGTAGTTTAGTTTAACTCTGAGAGGTGGACTGGCTGGACTCCTCACTGGGACTCTGGTTCTGGACCAGCTTGCAGGGTCCAGGAGTTCTTGGAGAGAAGGAGCGCTTCCTGCCGCAGGACTCGGGGGATGGGAGTTCCTGAACATGGAGAAACAGCTTCAGTTATTATGCTCCAAATATCTGGAACAAAGTCACAGAAAGAATTGTGTCTGCAGCTCAGAGAGTCCTGCTGGGAACCCACACATGTTGAGGAGCCCAAAGTGTGATGAGAGAAATGTACAGTACGGGTCCCCAGCACATAGAAGCTGCCGGATGCTAACCTGCATATGTTGGGAGAGCTTTACAGGTCAGGAGAGGAACTAAGTACATTTACTCAAGTACTGTACTTAAGTACTATTTAGACTACTGGACAATGACTACTTTTGGTACTTTAACTATATGTTGATGAGAATACTTTTCTACTTGTATTGAGTAACATTTGAATGCAGGCCTTTTACTGTAACAGAGTATTCCTACACTCTTGTACTTCTACTTTTACTCAAGTACCAGATTTGAGTACTTCTACTTTTACTCAAGTATATTTTGATGGTAATACTGTAACGCACTGGTTATAATGTTGATGTTTTCATGTGTTTTATTCTTCAGAGTTTATTTACATTTTACAGAGTGTCAGTGAACGCGTCACTGTTTTGATAGACAGTTGTTGTGAAGAGAAACAGCCAAAATGATGAAGAGAGAAAAGAGTGTTGTTTTCCTCTGAGGACATGCTCCATGAAAGAGTTTCATATCTTGATGAATGGAGGATATTCAGTACTCACAGTTCTTCTGGATCTTGGCTCTGATCGTCTCATCCTCTCTGATCCTGTAGGGATGAACACAATCCAACAGTTATGGATCCAGTTTAAAATAAGTGTTTGTTCTTTGAGTCAGCTTCAGAGTCCTGACTGATCTCATGCTTTACATCCCATCATATCTTCTCTGCAAACATCTACGACCTGACTGCCACAGCTCTCAGCTGCATTACAGGAAAGTAACAGTCATTAGTCAAGGAGCTAAAAACATCCCATCAAAAACAGACTACCTTTTCCACTCTTCTGTCAAATCCCATATGTCTGGTGGAAAGTTGATTACTTACTAAATGTGGCTTTGCATTTTCAGCTGGCCTTCTATAGTTGATGGAAGAATGACAGAGCCTGCAGTCAGTGGGTAACATCACTGATCTGTTGTGATTCCCCAGTGAGAGAAACACCTCCCTGTGTTTCATACAATACTGCTGAACCAGCAGAGACCCCTTACTGACCTGAGGGTCTCCAGTCTGCAGTCTGGACTCTCCAGAAGATCTCTCAGCAGCTCCACTCCTGAATCCTGCAGAGTGTTGAGACTCAGGTCCAGATCTCTCAGATGGATGTTGGACTTCAGAGCTGAGGCCAGAGCAGAACAGCTGATCGCTGACAAACTGCAGCTCCTCAGACTGAATAAAGAAAACATGATGAGGATACAAATCTGTTTATAATCCAATCAGATGTTACTCAACATTTAAATGAATCTGAACAGAAAAATATGTCTACTTCAGAAAGTGAACTTTATCATGTCAAACTAAAATGACTTCAGATGACCTTTATTCAGACGTTATCGTTTACTAAATATTAAATACATAGATTTAATTTTCACAACTAACATCTATTACAGTTACTTTAAGAAACAGTCAACATGTATGTCTGCAGTTCTTTCTTCTTACTCTTTAAAATGAAATATGAATATAAGGACATTTACTACTTTATGGATGTAAGTTATTAATGAATATAAATGAGGTTCAATTACAAAGTGAACATGTGAGATCTCCAGCAGTAACAGAGAGTCAGTGAACTGACCTGAGAGTCTCCAGTCTGCAGTCTGGACTCTCCAGAAGATCTCTCAGCAGCTCCACTCCTGAATCCTGCAGATCGTTCTCACTCAGGTCCAGATCTCTCAGATGGATGTTGAACTTCAGAGCTGAGATCAGAGCAGAACAGCTGATCTCTGACAACATGCAGCGCCTCAGTCTGAATAAAGAAAACATGATGTAACTTTAGAAAACAATGTTCCTGTTTGAAATAACTCCAGGTTTAATAATCTGTTCAGAGTGAAACAGGGTTTTAATGTCAGAGATGATGCAGAAAACAATCCACTGATAATCTGGAACTTTAACTTTGATCAGATGTTGAACAACTCCTTCATCTCCCTCACAGCTCATCAGTACTGACAGCATCTCCACTGACTCATGGAGCACAGAGTGAGTCTGTGGAAGCTCAAACACTCTCCCTCACACATTCACCTTCTCTCTGTTACTCTGATCAATATTCAGTCATTAGCAAAAACAGAAAGAATAATAATAACATTGTATTTGTTCAAATTCAGAAAATCATAAACACAAACAGATCAATATGAACTGCAGTCAGTGAACTGACCTGAGAGCCTCCAGTCTGCAGTTTGGACTCTTTAGTCCAGAACTCAGCAGCTCCACATCTGAATCCTTCAGAGGGTTGTTACTCAGGTCCAGATCTCTCAGATGAGAGGGGTCAGACTTCAGAGCTGAGACCACGACTTCACATCCAGTCTCTGAGCTCATACAGGCAGTAAGTCTATAATAAAACATATATTACAACATGTGTTAAAAAAGAGGAAACATTATATTAACATCAAGCATTTGATGAAAAAAGATTTGACATGTTCTGATAGACATTTGCTGTTAGTCCATTTAATATAATATATAATAATATATGATAATTGAGTGTAATGAGTTGTCAGTGTGATCTGATCACATGTCTGTGCTCCTGCTGTCACTGACTGTTACCAAAGGAAACAGAAATTAAATGAATCACTTGACAATATTAGAGATGTACATATTTAAATGTTAGTTAATATGTGGATGTGAATGATGGATGAAGGATGCTTTGGCTTCTCTGAGCATCTGAACATTTATTGTGCACACAAACACAATTAACAAACCAATAAAGTTTCAATATGTTCAACTTGATACCATCAGATGTTCCCAGTATATCAGCATTAACACATAACTCTGTTATTGGTGGGAAATGATATAGATCTGATTTTAAACTCCAACACATTGTGATAAAAACATGTTTAATGATAAAGAAACTACTAGAAAGTAATAATAACATGTTTCTGTGATAACTGTAAGTCCTGCTGTGTGGTGTGATCACATGCTGAGAAACCTCTAAAGTCCTTCATGTGTTTGACATGTCGCCTCCATCACTCAATATGAAGAGAGAAACGCTTCAGTTTAACTATTATTATAAATAAATAGAAGAACAGTGTTGGTTTTATTTTGCTCTCCCAGTATTTAAACAGCAGAAATGTTATAGTGTTTATTTGAATAATTAAACTCCTGATCCACATTAGTTTATAAAGTTAATCACATCTGGACTTACTTGAACTTCCTGCAGTTCCTCACAGCTGGAATCAGTCTATGTCGTCCCTCATGTAATGTGTTGTACTGATCCAGGTCCAACTCATCCAAAACCTCCTCTGACATCTGCAGCATGTAGGACAGAGCAGAGCAGTGGATCACAGAGAGTTCCTTCTCTGATCTGTTCTCTGACTTCAGGAACTCTGTGACCTCCTGATGTACTGAGTGGTCCTTCATCTCTGTCAGACAGTGGAAGATGTTGATCTTCCTGTCAGGAGAGGAATAACTTCTCATCTCCTTCAGGTTGCTGATGGCTCTCTGGATGGTTTCTGGTCTGTTGTCTGTGCGACCCAGCAGGCCTCCTAACAGTCTCTGGTTAGACTCCAGAGAGAGGCCGTGGAGGAAGCGGACAAACAGGTCCAGGTGGCCATTTTCACTTCTGAGGGATTTCTCCATGGCTCCGTTCAGGAAGACAGGCAGGGATGGGTAATCCTGATCTCTGCTGTTGTTAAAGTCTCTCTGCAGGAAGTCCTTCAGTACCTCTGTGTTCCTGTTGGTGTAACAGTGCAACATGTAGACTGCAGCCAGAAACTCCTGAATGCTCAGATGAACAAAGCAGTAGACTGTTTTCCTGAAGATCACTCTCTCTCTTTTGAAGATCTGTGTACAAACTCCTGAGTGCACCAAGGCCTCGGTGACATCAAGACCACAGCGCTGCAGGTCTTCTTGGTAGAACATGATGTCTCCTTTCTCCAGATGTTCAAACGCCAGCCTCCCCAGCTTCAGAAGAACCTCCCTGTCAGCCTCCGTCAGCTGCTGTGGACTCGTCTCATGTCCCTCTTCATACTTCTGCTTCTTCCTCTTGGTCTGGACCAGCAGGAAGTGTGAGTACATGTCAGTGAGGGTCTGGGGCAGCTCTCCTCTCTGGTCTGTAGTCAACATGTGGTCCAGAACTGCAGCAGTGATCCAGCAGAAGACTGGGATCAGACACATGATGTGGAGGCTCCTGGAGCTCTTGATGTGAGAGATGATTCTGCTGGACAGGTCTTCATCACTCCATCTCCTCCTGAAGTACTCCTCCTTCTGGGCGTCAGTGAAGCCTCGTACTTCTGTTACCCTGTTCACACACTCAGGAGGGATCTGATTGGCCGCTGCAGGTCTGGAAGTTATCCAGACGAGAGCCGAGGGAAGCAGCTTCCCCCTGATGAGGTTTGTCAGCAGCACGTTGACTGAGGACTTCTGTGAGACATCAGACACAACCTCATTGTTTCTGAAGTCCAGAGAAAGTCTGCTTTCATCCAGGCCGTCAAAGATGAGCAGCACTTTGCAGACAGCCAGCTGCTCTGCTGTGACCTTCTGTAAGGTTGGATGGAAAACATGGAGCAGCCTGAGAAGACTGTACTGCTCACCTTTGATCAGGTTCAGCTCCCTGAAGGACAGCGGGATCACCAGACTGACATCTTGGTTTCCCAAACCCTCGGCCCAGTCCAGAGTGAACTTCTGCACTGAGAAGGTTTTTCCAACTCCAGCGACTCCATTGGTCAGGACCGCTCTGATGAGAGTCTGTTGGTCAGGTAAGGCTTTAAAGATGTCCTGGCACTTGATTGGAGTGTCATGGAAGGACTTCTTCTTGGAAGCTGTCTCCAGCTGCCTCACCTCATGTTGGGTATTAACCTCTTCACTCTGGCCTTGTGTGATGTAGAGCTCAGTGAAGATCCTGTTGAGGAGGGTTTCACTTTGATCAGTTCCTTCAGTCACACGTTCACATCTCCTCCTCAGACTGAGCCTATGTTCATCTAAAACCTCCTGCAGACCACTATCTGCTGGAAGAGAAGGAAACATGAGAGAATGAGGGAAATGCTCTGAGAATCTAATTATAACAATAAAACAACAAAAACAGACTGAGTTTAAATGTTTTATAAACAGCTTACTGTCTATGCTCTACAACAGTATACCTGTTCAAAAACAAATGAACCAGGAAGAGGAATAAGACGCTGCGTGTGTTCGGCCTCTTACCTCGTACAGAGCTGGTCTGACTGGCTGTCTGCAGTCCAGCTCTGGTTCTGGATCTTTTCCCACACTGGGGACAGGAGGGGTCTCCTGATGGAGGTCTCTGCTCCCAGTATGAGGTGATGCACTGTCTGCAGAACCAGTGTCCACAGCTGGTAGAGACTGGATCCTTCAGGACGTCCTGACACAGAGCACAGCTGGACAGCTGCTCCTCCACAGGAACACCACTCTTCCTCTTCCCTCTGTGGAGATGAACACATCCTTTACAGCACTTCACATTAGTGGAGCTGATTCTCACCAATGGGCAGAGCGTCACAAACGTCACTCTCAAGATGAAATGTGTCACGCTGCACGAATACGCAGGTGACATGAATTTCACCTCTTCACTTTCTTGGTGTCTCCAGGCACGGATCTGGGTCTTTGCATTGACTCTACATGTAATCACACAAAGCTCTGTTATATCTGCTGATGCTAAACACAACCAGCTCACCAGGTCATCACTATTATTAATAAACATCTTTAAAATACATATCATAAACATGCCCAAGTAGTAAATCATGTTTTGGACGATATATTTAGTTTTTAGTGAGTATTTATCAATATTGCCTTATATAGGTATGGCCCTTACTTACTGTACTGTTACTAAGTTTCTTTACTGCGATCATTAAAGAACAGGTTAGATGATCAGATAACATAAAAACTGAATCCTCTTCAGGGGCCTCATTTATAAAGGGATATACGCTCAAAAAATGGCGTACGCCAGTTTCTACGCAATGTTTGCAATTTATAAAATACTAACTTGACGGGAAAATGTGCGGTCCTCCACGCAAACTCTAACCCATGCGTACGCACTAAGCACACACACGGGAGAGACGAGAAACTGCGACACCGTTGGCAGAAGGAAGAATGGAGAGAAATATGTGGAAATAATACCATAAATAAAATGTTACCTCTCATTTATCAAATATGAAGAATTCATTTTCAAACATTGATTAAAGCCAATCTTAAAATGATTAAACAAACGCCTGTTTGAGACTCCTCAGTGCACACAAAAACATAACTTGGAGAAATAAATAAATACGGATATGTTATTTAAAACCACCTCGAATATGTTGTGTTAATGTTATGAAATGTTTTCTCATAAATGATGCGCAAAGCAGGAGGACAGAATTACGTCTAAACTGACGCCGTTTTGCATTTCTATAGGTTGTAGATACGAGCATGGTTTTATATACTATCACGTTTAATCGTGTTTTATGCCGTTTGCCAAGACTTGATAAGTCGCTCGTAAAACACAGGAGGTATGGAAACTAAGAACACCATATGTTTGGATAATTGTACAGCTGATTTAACACAACACATTTGTTTTATTTCAGTTAAGTGGTGGGTAGAGTTGTTGAGGTGGCATTGAGACACACATGGACACTGCCTCAAGTTGAAGAAACAGTACTCAAGACTGGCTATCCGCCGCAACTTTTTCAGCCTGCGTGTGGTC